CAGATTAGGACCCCCAAAGAGACCAATGGAGACCAGAGATATCCAGAATGCAATAGCAAGGTTTACTTCTCAACACAAGACAAGCTAGCAGAGAGCCCTCGTCTGTAGTGCCTGGCTAATCGAGGCACGGAGGAAAGTTCCTCTTTCTTAGGGAAGATAGCTTTTGAAGGCAAAAACCACAAAATTCTTCAGAGAGGAGGGGGTTAATTCGGGTCCATCCTTGATTGGTCCAGTTTTCCTTAGCTTGGACTTTATCTTATTTTTTGCTCTGTCAGGAGTTTTACAGCCCATCTCCAAAATCTGGTCATGTTATCTCGGGGGAGGGGGGGGCATCTCATGGTTAGTTACCACCAGACAGTCTGATTTTGTACTTTTAAAACTTCTGACTTCACCCTGTCTGGGAATGGGGAACTGACTCGGTTCTGGCTATTTTAAGATGTCCCTTTCCTCAGCTCTCTGGGCCTTAGGGGGAACTTGGGTAGGGTTCCCTCAATCCCAAGGATGAAAGGCCTACAATTCAGATCCAGAGCCTGAGGCCATTAAAGGCAAGAGTTCAGTTAATAAACACAGAGAAATCAGAATGGTACAGTGTAATGGGAAAAGAGTAGGACATCAGGACCTTCCCTTTGGGGAGCCTTATGAGGGGAACAGGCCCATGCAGTAAGACAAGAAATGCTATATTGTTTGCTCCCTAGAAGTTCTTTTCCCAAGGTCAGGCATTTGGATAGAGATCTCCATACCCTAGTGGGCTTGAGGAAAGCTCCTGCTGGATAAGGCAGTCATTCTTATCTCTAACTAGAGGAATTTGTGGCCCTTCCATTAACATATGACTGGTGCCTATTGTCAAGGTCAATGCTCAACTCCTAATCTCAAGCCACACCCCAGCTCACAAGCCTCTTGTCTCCAGTTTAATCCTGTGTGCAACTATACAGTATAAAAGGTGTAATCTTTCCTCAAAGGCTGCTGGCAGCCACCTCCTCAGTTTGTGTCTGTCTCCTTCCTCTATCTCCCTGGCGCCTCCACACATCCTCTACGGGACCTGAACCCCCTTGCGGAAGTAGGTCTCTGGCAGTTAGACACAGTAGCGCAAGCCTTTAATCCTAGAATTGGGGAGGGGGGGAGGCAGTTTGGGGCCAGCCAGAGCTACATCATGAGACCATTTCAAAAACAAAAGCAAGCAACCAACAAAAGACCTCCTGCAGAAAGAGGAGCTTTGGAAAGCAAGCCAAGCCCCCAAGAGAATGGGAGGGGAAAAAAAGTTGAGCTAGTTGTCTAGGGGCTTTTTATAGGACACAGCAGAAACTGTACAAAGACTGAGGTCCTTTCGATTAAGATTAGTCCATTCTCTGGGAGTATCACAAGTTGAGCCCATGCAGGCCCCACATGTTCTGCGCAGGTCTCCAAAGCTAAAACGGGGAGATGAGACTGTCCACCTGCTGCTCCTTTAGGAAAGCAGCCGTGCTTTATCTTTCTCTTGCTTTGTCATCTGTTAACGTTGACTGTTGGCTATCAGCCCAGGCCGGCACTGCCAGCCCTACGGGCCCCGCGGGCGTTGCTGGTCTTAGCCCAGTGGTTCCCAACCTTCCTCATGTTCCCACCCTTTAATACAGTTCCTCATGTTATGGTGACCCCCCAGGCCACACAATTAGTTTCGTTGCTCCTTCGTTACTGTAATCATCGTGAGTCCAAGGCCATCCTGGGCTACAGAGTAAGATTCAATCTTTTTAAAAAGGGCGGAGTTGGTTAAACGAGGAGTGTGGGATGGGGGTGGGTCGGCTGGTGGAATGAACTCCTAGAGGTGCCGGAGGTGGGCTGCGGAGAAACACACCTGCATCTGACTAAAACGTCAAACTAAAGCGTAAGAGCAGCACGAAAACGAGGCGGTTTTCCATGCCTTTCCTCGCCCTTTGTCTGGAACAGAAACCCACGGAAGCAATTGTCCTCACGGCTTCCACAGGCCGTGGACTCGGACCGGCAGCAGAAGACGCTGCCCCACTATTTACTACGAGGACGCCAGGTGTTAACAAATCACCTGCCACGAATTTCTATCAACCAGCCGTCTGTCGTTGTTCGTAGTCGTGGCCGAGTGGTTAAGGCGATGGACTAGAAATCCATTGGGGTCTCCCCGCGCAGGTTCGAATCCTGCCGACTACGGGTGTTTTCTTTGGCTCCCTCCTGTGCGGTTTAAGGTTTGAAAGTGTATTTCAATTGCCAAGCTAGTTTCCTCCTGACGTGTGTCTACGATGCAAGATGCAGGGCAAATTTAGTGGGTAGTTCTTGGATTGCCAGTGTGGAGACATTTTTGTCCAGTTTGTTGTTGATGTTTTGTTTTGCCTAAAACCAGACAGACCATCTTTTCTCTGAGGGAAGCGTCTCCTTTCCAGCCTTTGAAATCCCATCTTCAGGAAACCCGGTAAAAGCGAGTCCTTAGGTTCAATCCCAGCAGCAGAAGGAAAGGAAAGAGAAGAAAGGAGAGGGAAAGCGGCCACTCTACCTACTT